TCGACATTCAATTTAATGTCATCATCAGTGGATCTAAAAACAGTATGAAAATTAGTATATCTAGGTAATTATAATATATGTGGATTGGTAAAGTAGCTGTACAATAAGAGAAAAATTAACAAACAGCAACACTTAACAACAAACCAAATATAAAAGACAAAAATAATTGCAATAATTGCCCTTCTACTTACATAGGTGAAACCGGACAAAATTTAATAAAAAGACTCAAACAACACGACAATAATTCGAAAAACCCCAACCAAAACCAAACTATGATAACAGAACACATAAAAAATTTCAAACACTCCTTTAACTTTTATAATGCCAGTATTCTCTACCATGAACGGAACACCATTTAGAGACGTTTTGCAGAATCTTGTTTCATATCAATATGTGATCACGTGGTGAACAAAAGATCGGATTCCTCCTTACTCTGCGATAACTACCAAGTAATACTAAATAATGTTTCCAAATTTATTTCCTCTGAACAAAACTAATTGACCTTACTAACCTTGCCAACACTTCCTAGTTTAATTTCGGCCTTGATACCCGAGCTTTACCTACCCATACATAGCAAATTTTGAATAAAACTTAAAAATTTTTTTATTTTAGATTTTTGAGTTTTTAGTATAACTACTTAGTATTACTAAATAACATTTCCAATTTTTTTCTCCTAATTCTAACCATACAAACCTAGCCTAACATTACTAGTTTCAACTTCCGACTATTTTCTACCTACCCGCCCATAACAATCCTGGAATGACCCTTAAAAATCTCTCAAAACATGTGGTGGCTTTTATACATGCCTCGGTACTAGCAAAGTACAGAAGTCGTGGCAGAAATTACATAATTCTACTTACATTATTGTTCAATAAAACTATCATTTTTCTGTTTACATCATACAAAAAAATTATATAAAAAATGCATAGTGCTGACAAGTTAGTTGTATAAATGTTAGTGCCAATCTCTAGTGATGTGTACACTTCTCTATATGTAACCAACCAACGTAATGTAAGTCCACTTGTATTTTATATGTATTATCCATCTTCATAAATAATTTGTTTGCTTTACATATATACGAGTTTACATATATTGTATGTTTATATATATATGTATTTGTATGTATGTATGTATATATATGTATATTACTTATTTACATGTATGTTTGTATGTATGTGCATATGTATATGTGTATACATGTAATTGTATATACGTATATATGTATGTATGTATATGTATATATATATGTATGTGTATGTATATGTATATATATATATATATATATATATATGTATATGTGTATATATATATATATATATATATATATATATTTGTGAGCATTTATGTACATATGTATATATATGTATTGTGTGTATATATATATACATATATATATGTGTGTATGTATATATGTATATATATATATATATATATATGTGTGTGTATATATGTATATATACATGTTTATGCGTATATATATGTGTATAGCTATAGTTACATAGATAGGTATGAGTATATGTATGGTTCATACATGTACATATACGTCGTTGTGAATATGCATGCACTTTGCATATATGTATATACGTACATTTATATATGTATAGTCGTACATGTATATGTGTACATATATAGGTATATATTGTTGTATCTGTATATGTATATGTGTATTATATGTTTGCATGTGTGTGTATATGGATATATGCATGTATATATATATATATATATGTATATATATATGTGTGTATATGTGTACGTATATATATGTATATATGCGTAGGTTTATATGAGTGTACTTAAATATTTTTGCCTATACTTTTTAATTATTTATTTAATTCTAGTCTCTACTACCTTTCCTATCTTTTATATTTGGTTTGTTGTTAAGTGTTGCTGTTTGTTAATTTTTTTCTTATTGTATAGTTACTTTACCAATCCACATATATTATAATTACCTAGATATACTAATTTTCATACTGTTTTTAGATCCACTGATGATGACATTAAATTGAATGTCGAAACGTTTGGAAATAAAGATTATTTTATAAATCTTTGGCTTCTCTTTGTTTGATGTATCGCCCTCAAGAACTCACTCATATATATATATATATATATATATATATATATATATATATATATATATATATATATATATATATAATATGGGTTCTGGTTTATTCTTAAAATGTAATTCTGTTAGATACACTGCGAATGATCTGTACAATGATGACTGCACCCGACAGAGTGCAGAAAAATCTATTATTGTATGGTAGGTAAGGCATAAAATTAGTTAGGTGCTATTACTTAAATTTTGAAAATTAAAAAAAATTAGGTATGTTTTTGACCTTAACATTCAGGTAACAAATTTTTAAAATAATTTAATTGCACAAAATGCAAGGCATTTCTTAGTTGTATTGGAACTTGGAAATTACGTAAAATACTTTACCTACAAAATAATGCTGTATCAGCATGATTGTCGGAGTGTAGATATACAAGTAAAAATCTCAATTCCCTCTTTGCATCATTTACAGCCTGTGCATATGTTCCTTGATAGAATACTGGCTGGCTTCCATATTGCTCACGATATTTACTAATAAATCCCATTACATCAGCTAAAGGGTCTGTTATAACTGAAACAAGAATATATATTATCAGAGCATTTTTAATTACTTTGATTCATAAATAATGCATTAGCTTGACCCTATAAAATATGAAGATTAATACTTGGGAATAATATGCCTAAATGGAATTAAAAACTACACTGAATAGCATAACAGAATGTATGCATAATAAAAACAAATTAATCATATAAAATTTAGAGCAAACTATCTGATTTCTGATCTTACTTTTCGGTAAGTAATTAATATTACTTATTCACAAGGAACCTATATTTAAACATTCTTTTAATATTGGCATCACAAAAAATAATTTAACTACTAAAAACTAAAAAGAAATAATTTGGACAAATTAAACACTGATTTTTTTTTTCAAACAAATAGTAAACTTACTCCTTCTCGAGTCATCTCTAAATATACTCAGTAACGTGTTTAAGATTGAGGAAAATGTATTATAAAAGAGTGACACAATCATATTGAAAACATATCCAACATATCCGGTTATTCCAACAGGTGGATCTGAACTGGCAGGTGTTGTATATATTCGCTGATTAGAATGATCATTGACTACTGCCGGTGGCCTACTTTCAGTCGTAGCAAAAATTGAAGGTCTACCTTCTCTAATGTTTAGTTGCTCCTGAATAGCTACCTGATAATAGACAGAAAGAAAGAAGCTAAATAAATATCAAAATTGAAATTTTACATAATTTATATATATATATATATATATATATATAAACAAATAAACTTCTTAAACAGGCATCCATCCAGATAATAAAATAGAAAAAAAACTAAGATATGTTTGTTAAAATAAATTTTATAGATCCATCCATACGTTTCGAGTCCCAATTTGACTCTTCCTCAGTGGAAACCACACAAGTAATTAATACACAAAAACAAATCAAAAACATGTCATAGAGAATTTTACTTCACAAACATGCATGCTAGTAAAAATGAAAATTACACTTCAAAAAAGAAATGAACAAAAATAATAAATTCGACCATCACATCTGAAAGTATATATAAAATATTGTACAATAATAATTCATTATGTTTGTAGCTTAGGATTTATATTTTTTAATTATGTGTATTAAATTATATATATATATATATATATATATATATATATATGTATAAACATACATATATACATATGTATAAACATTAATGAATGTTAGTAATTTTGTTGATGAGAGTACTTTGATGCTACGACTTACATAAAAACTTTATTATTACATATTTCAAATTTTATAGATTCCTCAAATTGATAATTTGCATTAGCTTCCAAAGAAGTCTCTTGGATATTATTATCAACGTAGACTTATTCGTCATTCAATAGGTTATGAAGTAAGAGATTATATTGCATGCACAATATACTGAAATTTTTAAAGCTCTAAATAAAATATTGAAATTTCGTACATTGTAAAGTAAAACAGAGATAATGAAATAGAGACAAGTTTAAAAAAAGTTTCTACAAAAATAAAAAAAAACTTATCTGATTACTAGGCAAGATAATTCGATACTGCCAAAACAATAACATTACAATAATTTTATCTGGACTAAATTATATTTGATTTTTAGGCGTATACATTGATTGAATTATAATTTGTAAATCACTCCTTTCTTAGCCAGATAAAAACGTTTCATTAAATTCGAAAGAAAATATCTGGAATATGATTCAAGATTTCATCATTTTAGCAAGGTCATTGGCCTAAATACTGTTTAATATGATAAACAGTGTAAAACTTGAAACCAAGTATCTCTAATTAGACCAATACTGAACAATAATACAAATAATTAAAAAATATAAATCCTAAGGTACAAACATAATGAATTATTATTGTACAATATTTTACAATCAAATTCACACAATTACATTATCTCTCTGCTTTTAGAGCGAATTATATCTTGATTTATGGTGAACTGAAAAGCATATTTTAAGATAGGGTTCATAACACATTCATATATTAAAATGACACTGATAATATTTCGTCGTAGGCTCGACAACATCCTGAAAATGATAGAATAGAGTCTTTAATTGAATTACCTCGAGATCCCATTGGTGCCTATGTAGAACATCTCTACAAATCGATATATCTTCTATTCCAGTTAGATCTTGAAATTGCAAAACTTTCTCTGTTTGTTCCGTAGTGAGTCCCATGTCATTGTCATTTGCAATATCCATTTTAGTTATTGGTTAAAAAAATATATATATACTTTACGTCCATTCAAATAATATTGATGTAAAATCTCTAGATCGCATTAATATGGAATAAGCATCACGAAATAGGGCTACTTGGCATTTACTCTTAGATAATGACGAGCACAAATACACAATACAAAAATATTTATCATTATATCGAAATATTTGCTACTCAAATGATATCAATACCAGAGGTAAATGTTGAGTTAACGTATGGATAGCCGTCACCTTGGAAATCTATCCCGTCGCATACCTAGCGCCCTCTATTGGCTACAGGCGTACAACGCCATTACAAATACACTTATTCACGATTTTAGAAATTTTGTTCGTATCTTGGAATTTCAAATCCGAAAACAATTGATATCACAATGTAATTTGTTGTTTCGACGTATGTCAAAGATTTCACATTTCAACATCAATTTTATATGTACAATATGTGTACAATGCAGACAGATTCTGATGGGGTTTCGGTCAAAGATAAGAGAAACATCTGGACTATATTAAGATGACCAATGATAATGATAATTTTAAAAGAAAAATAAAGAGGTACTATATGGAAATTGAAGACAAAGAAGACTGAAGAGTTATATATATAGATATTATATTAATGAAATAGATATTATAGTCAAATGAAATGTAAATATTATATGAAAACTGTTTTTCATAATCTCTCATACCAGGCACCTCTGTCTGACTGAGATATGAAAATAATGTATATATGTAAATAAAATAATAAAAAAAAAAAAACTGAAATATGGTTCGTTTCGCCTTTTATTTACTTCCCGAATAATAATTTTGTTTTCACCAGAATATCCATATTTCTATATATTATTTTGGGCCAAAACCCAGACGGCAACTTGTAGTTTACGGGTAGGAAGTAGGTTTTTATGCTCAATATCTTAAAAATACTATAAGGTTGTTCGGAAAGTCACCTCGTTTTTCTACCACCAGAATTTATAGCTATATTTTTTTGAACCTAACATCACACTTAAGCCTTACGATTATTATATGATTTGAAAACTTATGTTTTAAGGCTTGTGTGTAAACAATTCTAATCAATTACACGCAGTAGTTTTTGGATGGTGCCACTTTTAAAACGAAAAGAATTATGCAGCATTTTCGACATAATTTACTCTTTTGCTATAGAGAAGGTAAAAAAAACTGTTTAAGTTAAAATTAAATTGACCGATATGTACGCTAAACTCTACTAATCGATAAAATTGGTATGTTAAATTCTATTCCTGGTATTTTGATGTTCAAGATGCACCAAGTCCAACAACTACGGTTGAAGCTGATAAAGACGCGAGAAAGGCATTAGTTGATGCAAATCGACGAATAACAATACATGAGATCCCATTGAGTGAAAATTTATAAAATTTAACTGTTCATGACCACCCAAAAAGTCTAGGATTTTCCTCGAAAATCAATGTATGGTTCTCATAGAAAAAAACGTGTGTCGTCGCACTGGCGTCCACGATTCGCCCCTGAAAAGTCTTGAAGATTATCAGGTTTTGAAGCGAATTGTTACTGGAAATTTCAAATGGGATGTAAAGAATACGATACATGTAACTGTCCATGGAACAAAAAAGAAGAACTTGCTCAAAACAAGTGCAAAGCTGAAATTCGCCAGAAAATGGTGATGCAGTATGTTTGGTAAGATTTTAAAGGAGTTGTTCATTTTTCAGCTTTTCCAGGACAACAAAACGGTTAATTCAGATGCCTTATGTCATCAGCTGGATAAACTAAATAATAGAAAGGGTCAGAATTAACCCACGACAAGGTATAGTCCGACATCAAGACGACGCAAGACCTCACATAAGTTTGGCCAATCACCAAAGGCTTTTTAAGCTTGAATGACACTTTCATCATATTGTCCAGACCTGCCATCATCGTTCCATTATTTGTTCGGGCCATTAAAAAAATTTTTAGGCAGTAAAACCTTTACCTCAAATGAGGGTGTCAAAAAGCACTTTAATGAGTTTTTTTGCCAATAACGACCAAAAAACTTATGATTTCGGAATTATGCTAATACCAGAAATATGACGAAATTTGTTTAATCAAAACAGTCAATATATAATTTATTAAAGTATTTGTTTATTGTACGAAAATTACGTTACAAAATGCCTATAAAAACGAAGTTACTTTCCCAATATTTATAATAAGGATACAATAGTAGTCAGTTTTTATTATTGAATAAATTGCAGGATTTCAATATTTGATTATTTGTTATATTATGATAAATTCTGTTGAATTTTCTTCATAATTGACTTAGATTAGTAAAAATTATGCCAGGCAGTCAAATAGTTCGTTTTTATTTTTTTTGGTTTAAAAAATGCACAGTTTAAATAAATTACAGAAATCTTAGCCCACTATCTAACACTCTAAGCACAGTTTTTTTCATAAACCTTTTGAATCAGAATTTTAGCGGCTCATATAAATTTTGGAAAACGTGAAGGCGTTGCTGTTCTAGAGGAACAAGTTGCTAAACAGTTGATATTTTTGAAAATATTTGTTTAGGTTTGTTGTTATTTTCTTATTGCAAATTATGAAACATAATAGTATTACTAGTAGAAACAATAGATTTGATTTTTAATATAATTTAGTTTTTCTAAAAACCATCATGAACCAGATCAGAACGTACTCTTCACACTCATATAGAGGTGTTATAAAAAAGAAACATGAATAGTAAAATGTCAAGAATCGTTAAAAACAAATCAGAATCAAGTTAATAATTTAATAAATTTTTCAAAAGCTTAAAGTCAGTTGCTCGTTCATTAGAAAATGGTGTAAAACCAAAATTGGGTCAAACTTTATTAGAGTGTAAATCTGTTTCATTATTATTTTGAATAAGTAGCCTGTTCAAAAACAAACAACAAATACAAGTGTATCTTTTAAAAATTCGACTTCGTTTTGAATTCTGATAGCATTGCAGCAGGCGAACATTGTCCCAGGTTGCAGTATTTCATAATCAGGACAATTTTAAAATGTTGTTCCTGTCACATTTATTGGGAGTAATGGACGCATAATATTGAGAGTAATATCGCATCCGAACTATCGCCTCTAATGGCAATTAACACTGGTGATAATATTTATTAATGAACGAAATAATAATGTTCCCTTTTAACTAAATTACATGTAAATACAGTTTACATAAAGCTAATTAGTAATAGGGGATCTTAATTTATATTGATCAATGATTTGGTAAATATTCGACTAATTTTAGAGTCTATTTTAACCATTATTAATTTTGCATTCGGCAATTTTCTTATTCATAAGGTATTCATTGTTTCATATAAGCAAGCGCGTTGTATACATACGTACATCACTTTCAGATATTTGCTGGGTCGACGCAATTTTATTATCAAGTAACTGCGAAAGCTCGAATTGAACTTGTATTTTTCAAAAACCCGGGACAATCCGGGACAAATATTGCATTTAGAAAAACCCGGATTAAAGATAGAAATCCGGAACTGTCCCGGCCAAACCGAAACGTTTAGTATATTAATATTGCTCATTTTATATTTTCTCAAATCGTATCGTAAAATTTGACTTTTACGTTTTTTCCCATAAACGGTTGGATCAATTACAAAAATTTGAATACGTGTAGACCAATTTCCTCATATAAATATTTTAATTAATATCTTCAAATATTAATCTTATAATTAGTATATTTATGGGTCGATTCTGCCGTATAATAGACCAATGTTATGGAAAGGCTATTTTACGTCCAGTTTTCGTACAACATGCTACTAAATGCTATCAAAATGCTATGTATTTACTGTGCGATCAGGCGTTTTGCTTTAGTTTAGTCGCACTTCTTTAAAATCAGACCAAATAAAATCAAAATATACTTCAAAACTTGTATAATTATTTCAAAATTTCATAAACCCACTTATTATATTTTAGAATATTTATTAGTTCGAAATATAAACTGTTAACAAAGTTATTATATTTGTTGAAAATATAAGCAAATTGCAATTACTATAAAAAACAAAAAAACTTATATCATAGCATTCAAATGCTACCGAACACTATTTGAAATGTATAACAATATATAGATTCTATATTATAGAATTACTGTAATTGCAAGTTATTGACACACTTAAAAAATTAGATGTGTCATTAGCTGAAAATTTGCTTGTTATGTTGTTTGAATGTTCAAAAATTAAGTAAAAGCATTATATGAATACATATAAGAATACAGGTATATCGAAAACCAAAATGACATTTGTACTCACAAAATTATTGCTATTGAAGAAAATTTAAACTATTGAATCAATTATTATTCTTGATAAATAAGTCAACATATTTGCGGTCACTTTCGTCATATATTACAATAAACATGTTAAATAGCATCCTTTGCCCCAAAAAATTGTAATATACTGCGGCTGCGATCCACCTTTCAAGCAAATTTTCGCAAAACGGTTTTCCACCGATGCCTTTCGAACAGAATTCGAACAAAATTCTTTAAATTCTTATGATTATCAATTATATTACAACTTTGTAAACACATTTACTACTATTTAAAATATAGATGATAACACGATTTAATTTAAAATATTAGTAATAGCATTATGTAATTATTTAAAGTACATCATATTGTTACATCTCAAAAGGGTAATTCAATGCAAATACAGATAAATAAATATAGTTCATTGAATTTAGTCATATTTCTTAATTTCCGTCAATAATCCCACATCCTTTGGTTTAGCCTCCTATTCGAACAGTTAAATAGAATATCGATAAAAAAAAATTCAATTGGTTAAACTGTTGATTAGAGTTATACAACTACTACATAATTACACATGTGAAAACTTAAGTTTAGTTACAACATTTCATATTTTAAACTTTTTGTAAAATACAATGTTCTCAAATACCCAACAAAAAGATAAAATCATTCTTGATGCTGATAAACGAATATAAATCTATTTTCCAAATAAATTCAATTTTATTCATTATGTAATAGATGGACAAAATGACACAATGGCCTTATTTAAAAATTGGCTAGTTTTATTAATGTGCCCACGACTATATAACATGAAGAAAGATCGCAGTCTTGTTGCAGTAATCAGTTCAAACGGACAAATTTATTTTGAGGGTAGACATCATGTTTTTTTGGGACATATTTATTGTCATTTGCAATTATTTGTATTAAATTTACTGAACTTATGTCAGTACTAGCGATTCCGTTCGCTTTCAGATAAAAGGATAAACCTATACAATGAACAATATGACATAGTTACTATTTCGCAAGAACTACAGAGTATACAGTTCATTTGTAGGCCAGAAAAATATTGAAAACATTGAGGCCAGAAAAATATTGAAACATGTCAAAGGTGATTGACTTTTAACTTTTACTTTAACAACTTCTAAAGACATGCATTTATTATTTTGATGACTTCATACCCTAAGCCCGGCATAAATTGGCCACGATGTTTGGCTTGTTCCCTTTGTGCTCATGTTTTATATTCTGTTGTCCCAAAAAGAACTAAACGATTTATTTGTCTTCTTGAAAGGTAGCATTTCTGTATGCCCTAGTCCAATATGTCATTTTGTCCATACTATATGGATAAAATGGTTTTTGTGATTAGTTGCGTTTTTCCTTAATAAACATGTTATTATAGTTTCTACTTAATTAAAAGACTGTGTTACTGGTAGTCAATGAATCTAAGATGAGTAAACACGATTGAGTCTGGTTATAATATCATTAAATAATTAAATATATATGGTTTATTATCCAAGCCAAAAGCAAATCTATAAATTAAATAAAAAATGTGAATAATTGCATATTATGAAACTATAATTTTTACCCATTTTATAAAGAATTTTTGTAGTCTACGTAACTTTTGCACATTTTATTGAACTATGACTTAATTAAATGAAATATATAAGCTTTTATATCTTATATAGTCTATAAGCTGTAAGTTTCTTTTGAAGAATTATTTTATTTCTAAAGTGGTTTCTTTTCTGGTGACACTCTGATGTCGACGGATCCCATGCCTAGTAGTGCATTATTTCTGGCCTCATGTCTTCGAACTCGCTCTTTATGCAAACGAACTGTGCAAAGTGGACGCATTGTTATGAAGTAAAAAATTTCAATAATGCTGAGAAGCGATACTCCCATGAAGAGACCCATTAGACCTCCACAATTTGCTAAGAAATCAACTGGACCATACAATTCGGAACGGCGCGATGTTATGAATTGGGCTTCTTTGAAAAATATGCTGACTCTTGCCATTGTGACACTGGTAAAGTAAAAGTGCTATAACAACATTTTTGTACAATTATTGCAAAATATTAATCATCGGAAATATTGTTCGATAAATTATCAAACACCGGTTAATAATTAGATAATTTTAGCTGATTTAATATTATAACAACTAATCCCTCTCATTAAACTTTAAAAAATCTGTTTATTATTAGGGGCCTCGAAAAGTTTTTGAATATAATAATTAAAATTATTTTTATCATAATTTTTATTAGTAATAAATCTAATTTACTTATTTATTAGTTTAAATAAAATTCGGCTTGCGAGGCACCTAAATTGTATATTTAGAATCCTCGCAAACCCTAATTTCGCGTGGTCTAGCGTAGACACTGAGTCTGTGGAATATATTTAGAGATGTATGTTATTTTGTTTATTAGTATCGTATTTTATTAGCTCATTTTGAATAAAGCTTATAAAAAGTGAATCCATATTAATTTTCTATAAGGTCACCAACTGCTAGGGATTGAAATAATTTATAATAATTTGATCGTGATAAAAGCTTTCCTGCAAAATTTTAATATTTCTTTGCATTTGAAAAAAATTAGTATAAAATATCCGAGCATCATAAATATATTTTATATTTATTTTGTGAGATCCATTTTCAAATGTTTAAGCATTTCAAACGCTGAATCGTAACCGTAATTGGTTTAAGTTTCAATATTTTCGAGATAGTTATGAGATAATTAGGAAAATAGGCTTAAATTAACTTACTTGGGCATTTCACTAAAATTAGCTTTGAAAGCCATGAAAAGCCTAGCCCAATCAAAGTCAGCTTGTGATAATTCCGCTTCATATTGAATTGAGGTGCAAGCTGGCAAACAGTCACACTCAGTTCTTCCAGTTTCAGGAGAGGAGCCAAGAGAACTACTACTTCGTAGCTCTTGAGCTATTTCACGTGCCAATAATTCATCTATAAAGAAATATGTATATTGAATATTTGCCGGTATATGCACAATAAGAGGAGCTCGCACCGAATTTAATGTATGAATTTTCAAAATAAAATTAGATGTACCAAATCTTTAACCCCGAAAATTTTAAGAGTTTTTTCAGCAATGTTAATATTTTATTAAATATAATTGAAAAATGTTATTTATTAAAAATATATAACTAAATGTTTAGAAGCATTATGCATCTCTAAATGGATTTTTCTCCAGTCAGTTTTTTTTAATTTATAAATATTAATGAGTTTGAATAAAATTGATCCTGGATTTTTAATTATGTTATATTTTATAACCTTACTTTGGTAAACTGATATAGTATTTAGACTTTAGAATTGCAAACAGTTTGCAGCAAACTAATGCATTTTGAATTTAGACAGAATAGGCCAAACTAAGGGACCGATTCTGCCGCATAACAGAAAAATGTTACGGCAAAGCCATGTTACGCTCCGACTTCCATACATTATGCTAATGAATCATACTGAATACTGTCAAAATGTCATGTATTTGCTTTGCATTCAGGTGTTTTACACATAAACTGCAAAGTCACTCGTATATTATGTAGTGGTATCAGAAACACACTGTTATCTAACATTGTTTTTTTGACATTTGTGCGGCTTTTAAGTTATGTTTTGTATCAGAAAACCTGAGAAATTCGCCTGACTGAACACCAACCGCCTGGCTTTTGTCAATATTAGTATGGAAAGTTCTTCATAAAATGACCTTGTCATAAAATTTTTCTGTTATGTGGCAGAATCGGTCCCTAAGTCACAGTAAGAAAAGAGCTAAGTGTAAGCCGTGCAATTTTGTGTTCTGGTCTTAACTTGACCAACAATTCCGCAATAAGAATCACAAACCTTCGGATGTTGTAAAGCACTCTGTACTTCCAGATCCACAAACCTGCATATCACTTGTACCTAAAATTTTGACATACCGGTCAATTATGATATTAATCTCACTATTTCTAAATAAAATGATAAAACTTACGCGGCATAGAAAATTCGACACATCCGCACTTTTGTAATGTAAAGTTTGCTAAACATTCTAATTCACAATTACTTTGGGTATAAACTTTGTAAAAGCGTAATTTACGTTCTAAGGGAAAGTAACATTGACGCCTGAAAAATGAATATTTTAATATAAGTAGCAGAAAATGACAATGGTAAAATTCAACATAGGATAGTTTATTTTCAAAGTCCTGTAAGTTCATTTTCTCGTTTCGAGACAATGAAAGATAAGCATATCTGTAACATAAATGGGCAAATTGAATGAAGTGTTATAATGTCTCTACTGTCTTATCAATATTTAATTTGATTATATCAGTTTGATTCATGCGAATTAGACTATATTGAAATATTTATCGGCTGCTAAAGGACTTAGAACACTTTCAAAATTAAGCAATTTCAAAAATAGTCAAACTTTAAATTTGGAAAATATAATCTAGCTTAAAATATAATTTACATTAATCTAATTTTGTGTACAAGTACGCATTATAAAAACTGACTTTAATCTATTGCATTATAAGACATAAATTTTAATTATAGAAGCTAATAGACAAGGTATGGCAGAATTGCAAGAAACGGATTTATTTTACGAAATATGCATGACCGAATATGCAAAAGACCAATGGTATATTAGGTAGTAACTGTATCATGTAAACATATTTTTTTAATGAAATTGTCTTGTTTCATTTCATGTAAGATAAAGGCACGGCCGTTGGCAAAGCGGTTGGAGTTATAGCATTTGTCCCAGGTTCGATACTTGCCTCGAACAGCCTGATGCCAAGCAGTATTGACAACAGGTTTTACTTGGAAATTTAGCTATATGTTTCCAAGCAAAAATAGCTCTTACCCGGCATTGCTGCAGCAATAAAAGTTCATAGCTTACTGAATTTGAAATAATAATACCATCATATAGAGACACGATACAACTATTTGGATTGCCATTTATAAAAACTGACATAGTTAGTTAGGTAAATCATCACAATAAAGGTAAAAAAATATCCATAAAATATCACTAATTGTAAGCTAAACACAGTAGAATATTTAAACTATAATGAATAAATTTACCTGTGGGCCGAGTAATATCTGAGTCCTTCTGCTGTTGTCATCATATTGGGTTTAACAGCAACAACGACTTCCTGATTTAAAGGCACGCGAAAATATTGACGACTCAATTGCGGTATTTCCGCTGGATGGTGCAATAATACCTAAATTTTATGAATTTCTTTTTATCTACGTAAAACAAAATTAACAACTAGTGATGCATGGTATCGTGCCTTAAGGCAAATTGCTGGAACTCCCTGTACCAAAAATTATTTTTTTTTTGAAGATTAAATTTTTTTTCAAACTTTGAAAAAATTAGATTTTCGTGAAATTTTAAATTTTTAAAAGTTTTTTGAAAAAAAAAACTTTTTTTTATTTTGAAATATTTTGGAAATTTTGAACTTTTTTCAAAGCAATCGTACTGTCTTAGCGGCATAGAGGCGAAATATCGAAACGCGCAAGTGCCGCGTCGGCGTCTAAAAGACAAACGATGTTACGGAACCCATAGAAATGTAAACACATATGTACTATTAAAATCTTTATAAAATATCTGATAATTTGATGTGTAATGATCAGTTTTGACCGCCAATGACATTTTTTTTTACTTTATTTACTATATCTCCGAAACGGCTAGACTGCCCTTCCCAAAAAATCAATCAGTTCTTTATCCTGTCAATACAAGTAAAATATTATTTGAATTATTAAAATCGGACGCTCCGTTCTCTTAAAAATTGAGTTACCGTTTTTGGCACCTTTGCCAAAAACTAATCAGCACGTCTCTTTATCAGTAGGTAGGTATATCGAATGTTTTTTGAATAATTGAAATCGGTTGAACCGTGTTCCCGAAATCGTCGGGACACATACATCCATTTTTTCTAACTAAGGTATGCCAAAATGTTCATAAACCTCTGAAACATAAAGATATATAAAAAATTTCATTTTCGATTTTTTTGCGATTACTATAACTTACCGTACGGGAAGTTAAAAAAACTGTGTATATAGAATGAAAAAAAATCTATAAACCACAATTCACAAAATACACAAGTATATTTTGGTCATTTAGAAACGAATAAATAAATATAGTAGTGCAATGATAAATTATAAATTTTAATATTAAATGTTATTACCTTAAATCCTTGTACAGGTCCTTTGCACAAGTAGTCGAGATCGTGCTCGTATGCTCGAAGGAGAATCGTTAGACCAGCCTTGGCACCGGCTCCTAAGCCCCGTTGGGGATATGTATCCGATGCGGCATCAGCAGGATAGCCTGTTTCCAAAGTCCAACCACGGGATTCTTTACCGTGCGATAAGTAACTGTAATCTTCATGCAAACTAGATAAAAAAGATTATTTTGTAAGAAAGATCAATTATAAGATCATCAATAAAAATTTAATGAATATTGTTAGTCAATGGTTTTACTTTTAAACCATTAACTTTTAATAATCGCATTGTGTACAATAACAATATTTATCGAATAATTCAAAGATCGAGTATATGTTAACATTTTTAAAGCTTCTTGATATTGTTTAAAACATAGAATTTGAACAGATGAAACTGACTTTAATCTATTGGCATCATATCATAACAATTTAAGTTTAAGAAAGATCAATCATAAGATCATCAATAAAAATTTAATGAATATTGTTAGTCAATGGTTTTACTTTTGAACCATTAACTTTTAATAATCGCATTGTGTACAATAACAATATTTATCGAATAATTCGATCGAGTATATGTTAACATTTTTAAAGCTTCTTGATATTGTTTAAAACATAGAATTTGAACAGATGAAACTGACTTTAATATATTGGCATCATATCATAACAATTTAAGTTTAATTTGTTTACATGTTAACCAATTGGACTGCGACGCGATCGAACTTATCACATATTAAGTTGAACTATCTGGAATATCGGATGAATAATATGAGTCTATTTTACATACTTGAAAATTAGTATTACTAAATTTCACTTCTTTGGTTAATATAAGCATATTCTACATACGCAATAAACTAAAAACGTTACAAATTAAAAGAAATAGTATACTAACAAAAGTAAAAATTCAATTTCTTGCTGTGAAGTGATACGAATATTATAAATAATTATAAATCTACAAAAAATATTTTAATTACGAAAATTTAGAATTAGTATTCTTAGTTCATGCACCGTACAGATATGACCGTAGGGTAGAGTAAAGTACAGGTCTAATTTGACTGTAAGTAATTATACTGTCTAAACCAGTGATTCCCAACGTGGGCGGATGCCCCACCGGTGGACATTTCGTAAATTCAGGGGCGTCAATTTAAAAATTGACTCAACACGACTTTAATTCTTTATTCTTTACGTATTTTGTTTTCCTCAAAAATTGCTATTTGCCACTAGTTACTGATTTATATGTACAACGAATATACTGGTCAATATAAAAATGTTGCCACTACTCCATGACGAGTATACTCGTCTAGCAGTGTTAACTGATTAACGCCAATTTCGCCAATTTTCTGAATCTAATATAGGTAACATTAAATTTTGAATAATTATATAAAAATGAGAAATGAGAAAATAATTTGATAAAAATAAAACCGATTGAATAATTTAATTAATTATATATAAATATGAATGAAATAAACCGATTCGGACAAACAATTAATGAAATTGGATTGCCGAAAATAACTAATCATTTACTTAATTCGTGAGTACGAGAACATAATCAAATGATTTTTAATAACTGTAATAAATGCACTTTAAAAAAATTATCGTTACAAAAACGTTGTTTAAAAAAATCTGTATTAGATCTATTATGTTTGGGCTTCGTACGCTTCCACTCGCAAAAGTTCATTGGCGTCCAACATATTGAACGTATAGCATACTCCTTCCTCAGTGACAATTCTGCTAAAAAGTGTAGTACAATTTCCTGGAGAATTTTTCCATTTGCAATGAAACATCATCTCGTCAAATTCTGGCGCAACCTAAAATTTAAAACCAATAAAATCAGTTGATCGGTGCTTTCGAGGTCGAAAATTATATCCGTACATACATACACACATAAATCTATTTTTTCTAATTGTAAGGTATGCTAAAATGTTCAGTAAGTTTTGAAACCTGAAGGTATCAAAAAATGTTTATTTTCGATTTTTTGCGATTGCTATAACCTACACTACTCATATTACAATGGGTTTCGTACCAATGTATAAGCATTGGTAAATTTGTACTTATTATTAAAGTATTTATAAAATATCTGATAATATGATGTACATAAGTCTAATAATCATTCTTGACCGCCAAATTGCATTTTTTTACTTTTTACACTCGATCTCCGAAACCACTTTCCAAAAAAATAACGAGTTCTTTATATTATCAACACAAGTAAAATATTCTTTGAATTATTATATATTTTTCGAATAATTCAAATCGGTTGAACTGTGGTACCGAGATCGTCGACGAAAAATTGTATCTGCGCATACATACACACACACAAAATGTTCACATTTTCATTTTTGTTTTTTGCGATCACTATAACTTACCCTACAGGAAGTTAATAATATCTCGAAACATATGCATGGTTAAATAAAGATTTCTAAAAGATTTCCCTTTTTGTTTTATGTTTTTCTATCAATATTTTATGTGTATACGTCAACAAAAAATCGAAGATAATATTAGATTACCAGAAAAACTAGAACCTAAAATATATGGTTCATAATATAGATTAGGTCTTAATAATTAAGAGTTAAAAGTTTTTCTAGTATATATTATTTATGATTTTATTTTTTGTTATATATATATATATATATATATATATATATATATATATATTGCTATAAATATCTTCATAATAAATTATCTTATGACAAAATTAGGTAAAAAATTTAAAAAAAATTATGTTAAAATTTACCTCTAAAAGTTTATCAACCACTGATGAATTTGCCAATTTATTACCAAATTGGATTAAATGTCTGTCACACACAAGAGAAATCGTAGTTAGCATTTCGTATCTGAAATATAATTAACAAAATATACATATAATTAAGTATATACAAAGCAATATTATATAAAATATAAATGTATATAATAAAGATTAGAGCCAAGCTACATGATTACTCACTCATAATCAGTCATATTCAGATCCTCAGCACGTTGATGAAATGCTTCGGTAAAATTAAATACTGATTGCCGAGCTTTGTTTTCAGAACAAATTGTAACAGCTGGGAATGGCACCTTTGAATGAGTTTGACATATATTGTATATTTACATTTTTTAAATACATTTTCGATAAAATGACATACCTGCCACACGGGTGTTGTTTTCTCTGCAAAACTAACAATTACAGGACTGGAATCCCACTTGTGCCACACTTTCATTATTAATATTCCACACATAGAGAGGCTTGCTATGAAAACAATGATCCACCATAACCTGTAGAATATTTATAATTGACAATTATTATTAATCATGCCGTGCTTCATGTATCAGCACAATTCAGCTTTTTTATGGCATATGGTATATTAAAGTCGTAATTTTTCTAAACTAAGTAAGGATGAAAAACTAATTAAAATCTGAAATATTTACTATAATTAAACCAATAACTTCTCTCTGGCGTATAATTAACGCAAAATAATAAATCTATAAACATTGATTTATTTAAAATTCTGCTCAAAAGTACACTACAAAGTATACGTTTCACTTTTCTTAAAATGATGGTACATGTATTAAAGAGGTAGTTATTACAAATAAGCTGAGTTTCATAAGACTAGCCACTCCAAAGGATTCCAGATATAATTGGTCGCGTCCAAAATTATTTGCTCTTTAGTCTTATTTATAGCCATTGCAAATACCAATGTAATCTAAAACTTATTACATTTCAATTGAATTAGCACATCAATAAGTATGCAAAAACTTGGTATGTATGAATATTTTTCTTTTTTTTATTCAATTTATTATTTTTTAATTGCTAAGAAAATATCTGGAGATACAATAGTCTAGTGTAAATTATGCAGTGCTTAGCCAAATCCAGAGAGTTCTCTGTAAAACTCTGTAGAAAAATTTGCAGCTTTCACATAATGTTTCCATACAATTGTTGTATTTTTCTAGAAGCCACTTATGAATTATAAAATCCTGCCATAATCGAATGATAGCTCTACGCATCCAGTTCCATCACTGACAACTTTTTCGTCGCCAATATGAGGAAATTGTTTTGAAAATGCTCCAGGAGCATATTTGGATGCAGTTGTAATATTTCAACAGAAATATACAATATCAATTTTAAAATGATAACAAAGTTCCGCAAAATAATTTATTGATGCTTTTAATTTTTAGTCAATTAATAGTCGAAACCTGTGCGGTTTTGGTCTTACTCCTAGCCTACGCTGTTTCATAAGAAATGATCCGGCATAGTTTGAAAAATGAATAATTTTTCAGTTAAATCGAAGACAAATTAATCAATCACTTGTAACACTAAGTATAACAAGAACGATTTGTACACAAAAATTACAGCTTTGACATAAACTTAAGAAATTTTTAATTGTAATAAGCTGAGAAAATAGATGAAGTCAGAAAACAATTGAATCTTGACAGTATGTGATAAGTGTATAAAAACAAAACAAACAAACAATTTACATTATTAAAAAGTGTCATAATGTGGAAACGAATTATGGAAGAGCAAGACAGTATTGGAAAATTTGCATTTTATATGAACGCATTGAGCCTGATCTTATTCGTGACAGCAACGTATTTCCGGTTCAGAGTTGATGATTTTAGGGCAGCCATAAGAAGAAACTAAAAATGCAAACCGTTCGAGATGGAGAAGCTTTTGGCGTTGACTACTACCTATCGTCACCTCTTAATGAGTAGAAAATTTGTCTGAAAATGTTGACGAAGCCTCTAAATAACCGGCGTCAAGTTTTTCAGAAAAAATAAAGTATGATATTGCAATTAAGATCTGTCTAAATTGTTAAACATGAGAAATAAAATCTAACACAAAGTAAAAAAATTACTTTGATTTAAAAAACCTAACAAGTGCATTTTCTTTTTTACTATGATTGATAGTATTGTATACTTTTTATTTTATTTTATTTATTTTATTATTATTTGATTTTTAAAAAATAATAAACGACAAATACTTTAAATTTAATAAAAACTTAAGGGAGTATTAAAGTCTAGAATTTATAAAAAATCGATTATACATTTTTTCATATTTTCAAAGTTTAACTATTTCATAATATATATATACAAGAGAATTTATCACAATTAAAATTATTTTTGGAGATATAGTTGTTTGAGCACTATAATTCTCCTCTGCTTCCTTCATTCACAAAACTTTAAATAAGTTTTTCTCGAAACTGTCTTTTTTGACACAATACTCATGATTTCTCACTTCTACGTGACCGATTTACTTTTAAAATTGAAATTTTTACAGAGTGTGAATTAGTAAGGTGACCATACGTCCCGGATTGGCCGGGACAGTCCAGGTTTTTCGCCTTGCGTCCCGACTTTTTCTAAAAGCAATATTTGTCCCGGTTTTAGGTGTTTTGTTCCGGATTGTCCCGGATTTTTAAAAATGTTTTGATTGCCAATATATTTTGAAATATATTTCAACTAGAAAATTTTAACCAAAAAATGTGCAAATAAGTTTTTTTAGCTCTATGAAGAAATCCTGAGAAGAGTGGGCGGAGAAAAAACTACTCTACTGAACACGATCCTAAAAAGGAAAAGAAACTGTATCGGACTCATCGTGCAAAAGAGTGCCTTCTACACGCCGTCGTCGAAGGTAAAATAGAGAGACTGAGTAAAATGGGAAGAAGAAGAATGCCAATGTTGATGACTTGCGAGAGAAGAGAAAATATAGGGAATTGAAAGACAAAGCAAAGGATCAAGAACCATGGAAGCTGAAGTTTAGAAAGAAAAATACATAAAACTGAAAAATAGTGTTTAATGGTAATGGAAATGAACAGGAGAATAATGAAGAATAAGGGAATCATTGACTGGTGGTGGCTCTCATACCATGGACTTGCTTTTACGACCTTTCAAAAATCGCATAAAATTCCAGCTCTCATATACAATTTTTAACTTCATTTTAAACTAGTTGGTATTGGTATTTTGCCTTGAGGCAAGTTACATGAACTTCCCGATATGTGTAAATAATCCAATTAACCAATAAAAAATAAATCAATTTATGAGTGATTAGAAGTATTCCGAGTGGATTTATTACGTTAACGTTATCTCTGGGTATTTTCTAAAAGCAAATTTTCAAAAATCAATACTTTTTATAATTGAACCAGTTTCCGTAGGACTGTAATGGTTTAGTATGTTCATCAAGACCAAGTACTCTATCGTTATACCAAGTAAATCGTCTAATTTTAATTTTAACACACGTCAAAAAAACAACTCATTTTCTCAAACTTTGATGAATTTTTAAAATCAAAGTACTTGTCGTAAGGCCGTAATATTACATTAAGTTGTATAAGACCATGATATATATCGCTAAAAAAATCCATAAAAATCGGCTTTAATTTTTTTTTCAACAGTAAATTACAAGGAAACGGCTCGGTAGATTTTTCACCTAAACTAATCAGTACCATTCCCAACTAATATCTTTCGAACAGTTTTTGATTTTTTAAAATCGGTTCGATAGGATGAGCTTAAATGTGGACGAAAAGTTTAACACTTTTTTACAAATTACAAAGAAACGGCTTGGCAGATTGTCGCACAAAACTGACAAGCGATAGTCCTTATCGAAATACATCAAATGGCTTTTAAATTTCTGAAATCGGTTCAGGCGTTTTTGAGAAAACGTCGATGCAAGGTCTAATTTTGACAAATGCCAAAAAAACGCTACCAATTTTTGCACACTTTGACGAATTTTCAAAATTAAACCAATTGTCGTAGGGCCGTGATATTTTAGTATGATCTAGAAGATTGTAGTATCTACCGTCAAAAAAATAATAATAAAAATCGTCGAAAAATTTTTTTTAACACTTTATTACAAGAAAACGGTCCGATCTTTACCAAAAACTAATCAGCACGATTCCCAATCAATATCTTTCGAACGGTTTTTGAATTTTCATAATCGGTTCAGAATTGCGGGCTAAAACGTGGACGAAAAATTTTTCACTTTTCTGCTATTTATAAAGAAACGTCTTGGCCGATCATTCCACAAAACTGACAAACGATAATCCTCGTCGAGATACATCGAATGACTTTTAAATTTTTGAAATCGGCCCAGCCGTTTTCGAGAAAACGTCGATTTACGGCAAAAAATCTGTTCACATACACACACACACACATACTTTTTCCGAATTTGGTCTCATTCGATTCAGAATGACTTGAAACGTCGAGAAAACATAAAATTAGCGAATCGGATTTTTTAATGAAAACAAACTTCTCCTTCGGAAAGTTAATTATACCTGTATTATTTTTATGAGACCGTAACAGGAATACAAATACAATAATAATATTCAGCTAAGTTCATTATAGTAGGATACATTTAGTACCTTTCAGTCGTCGATCGCCGCCTCTCTCCGAGATATTTGACACCATGTATACTCGTATTAGCGCAAAATTCTCTAATGAAACCTTGCATAGTGAGAACAATGCGTCTGCTACGTGTGAGTTTGACCCCTTCTGGTCCGCCTAGGCCACCTAAACCCAGCGCAAGACCGAAGTTCGAGCCCGCATCCGAGATGGAAACATCACCTCGGGATGGAGTTCGAGCATGGTGATTGCCCGGTGAAAGTTCCTCATTCCTGTGGCGAGATTCGTAATTTTAAATATTGCAATAATATATTTTTTAATATCAAGTAAAAGTTATATATGTATATTAGGGTGGTCCTTAATGGGGGCATTTCTGAATTTCCTTGCTCCCACGGGCTCAAATGGTTCCAAATTGATAAAAAACAATTCTCTCAAAGTTTTAGCTCTTAATATTGTCTTTTAGATAGAGCGCAATACAATCAAACTTCGTATAGAAATAGCATGGAAAAAAATTTGAAGATTAAAAAAAAATGTTTAGGTATAACTTAGCGACAAATGAATTGAAAGTGAAATTTCGTGTCATTTTTGAATTGACGTCAAATTTATTGAAAATTTGACGCTCTGCAAAATTTTTTTATGCTATTTCCATACAAAACTTTGATTGAATTGCGCTCTATCTAAAAGACAATATTAAGAGCTAGTGTCTGTTTATTGAACTTAATAAATATAAAATATTTAATAAACATAAAATCAATAATACATTGCATACAAAAATAAAACTAGTGGGGCGCATGGCATCGTGCCTTAAGGCAAATTGCTGGAACTTCCCGTACCGTAACGAAATGTTCGAGAAATATTGAATGTTTTTAAATAGATTATTATAAATACTCTAACATTTATTTATGAGAATTATATAAAATGAATTACAAAGTTAATGTTATTTATTTAAAGTATAGAAGTGAGCTGTAAAACTTCAGCCAGAATTAAAATTGAAATCTGTATTATTTTCAATATACACAAAAAAAATTGACGAAAATTTTTGTTTCCAAAAGCAATTGTTTTGTCAACACAAGCAGAAAGTTTTTTGAATCATTCAATTCGGATGCTTATTTCTCTCAAAAACTGCCTTTTCAACTTCCCGTAGGGCAAATTATAGTAATCGCGAAAAAATCGAAAATGAAAATTTTTATGGATCTTTACGTTTCAAAACCTTCTGAACATTTTGACATACCTTAGAAAAAATGGATGTATGTGTGTGTGTGTGCGTGTATGTATGTATGTGCGGATACAAATTTTCGTCGACGATTTCGAGAACACGGATCAACCGATTTGAATAATTCAAAAAACATTCGATTCGTATTGATAAGGAGACGTGCTGATTAGTTTTTGGCGAAGGCAGGTCTAGCCGTTCCGAAGATACGGGGCAAAAAGTGCCGAAAATGGTAACTCAGTTTTTAAGAGAACGGATCGTACGATTTGAATAATTCAAAAAACATTTTATTTGTGTTGACTAAATGAAGAACTGACTAAATTTTTGGAAAGGCAGGTCCAACGACTTTGGAGATATGGAGAAAAAAATAAAAATATGAGCCATTTGGCGGTCAAAAATGATCATATGCACATCAAATTATCAGATATTTTATAGAGATTTTAACAATAAGTATGAATTTTATTTGCATTCCTATGGATTCCGTACCAATGCTTATCTATATATATATATATATATATATATATATGTATTAGTATTTTTTTGAACCTAAATGCAAAATTTGTTTGTATTTATATGAGTTCCGTACGTAGATTTATAATTTTCAACCATTACTGTACGGCGCAGCGCTTACGCACTTATGTAAAAAATTCAAAATTTAAGAAAAGGCAAACTTTTTCAAAAATTTTAAATTTCTCAAAAATCAATCTTTAAAAACACCCCTAGTTATGTATTCCGTCATTAGCAGGTAAATTAAGTTTTTGTAGTATTGTGCTTTACAAAGTAATTTTTACAGATGATTATTACTCCTGTATATTTTCCAAAATAATGCATGATCTTTAAAGCATAAGTGTCACATTCTTTGCATCGAGTCAGGCAAAATTCATATATTTCTATATTCTATAAATAAAATTGAATTATTTGTTTGTAATGCTCAGGTATTGCAACAGTCTGCCTGTCTATTTGTTTGGGCTAATCTCAGGAACGGCTAGACCGATTTTGACGAAATATTGTTACCAGGTAGCTGATGTAATTGGACGTAACTGAGAATATTTATTTTAGAAAAAATGTTTATTACATTTTCTGATCTAGGTATACCCTAGATTTCGTCCGCGTGAAACTAAGAAAAGGGTAATTAATTTGGTTTTTGTTTTTTTATCTGATCTTACCTTAATTCAAAATATTTTAATAATCAAATAAAGTAAAATTACGTTTCAAATTAATTAAAAATTAATTATGAATTAAGTACATTTGTATTCAATATTAAGATAAATGTGCATTGAAATTGTTAATAAGATTATAGTTGTTTTCAATTAAAATAAATTTTTATAGATCAGATTATTTATTTTCTAAATGTACGCTCACTAGCTAAGATTTGAAGGAAGTCAAATCTCTCTAAAACAATGAGAAAGACCAAAAGTGTTAATGAAATAAATGAAGTGATACGCCAAATATTATATATAAATAAAAATTTTAATAAATCTACTATCTACAGAAAACTGAAAATAAATGGCTATCAAAATAAAAATGCAAAACTTCAAAAGTTTTTCTTAAATTCCACGCAAACAAAGTCGAAGTAGGTATTGCAAGTTAAAAAATATAAATAATAAATGTAATTTAAAAATATTTTTTTTATTTGGTACTTTTATAAATAGCTTTGATATGATATCAAAATTCAGATAACAGTATTTATCATATTAATTACTACGTTTTCCTACTAAGCTTTAAAAAATTTAAAATATCGAATTATTCAAGTCCCTACTACTTTCCACTATGTGTGATTATTTCACAGTTTTCAAACTAATTAAAAATAAATCATCAAATGTATGTATATATTTAATTTTAATGTAAATAATATATACAATAATTTCAAACAATTTCTTACAAATAGTTATAAACTCATTAATTTTAATTGTTTTGATGCAATCGATTCAATTATTGAACAAATATTTTACTTCATCGAACTTTTCTAAATTGTGGCGAAATATAAACATTAGTACGTAAAATAATTAAAAATATATATAAAGTTTTATTTCTAATACTAACCATCCATTTCGTTTCATTTTTTGGGTCCAGATACGATTTGCAATCTATAGTCACAGGATAATACACAAAACACTAATATGCACAAAGTTATTCCGTCTACCACCCTGAACGGCTATGATGAAAAACCCTTTCATGATGAAGTTCAAATGTATTTATATGTCTGCAAAATCCTGCGCTTCTAAAACGATCATATAAACAACTTCTATGACGAATACCAGACACAGACAAAAATACATTTGCTTATATTATTCTATTATTGATTACATTAATATTATATAAATCCGCGATTTGTACAACTTGATATGAAGCCTATCGAGTTTCATCGAATGGTTCTTAAATTTTTGAAATATGTACGCCGACAAAATGTAAAACTTTGGATCACATACAGACCAACATACTTTTTCCAATTTTAGTCTCAGGCGAACCAGAATGACTTGAAGCGTCGTGGAAAATAATATAAACAAGTCGGATTTTCTGGAAATACAGTTTCGTATATACAATGTATCAATTTCGGGAAATAAAAACCTACTTTTGCAAAAGCTGTAAAAATGTAATTAATTTTCAATGTTTATGATTTTGAATTAAATCGCTGTGACGTTCGTTACATTATATTGTTATCTTATTCAGTGTTAAATCAAGGTATACAAATGCTTCATTTCAACCAATTGAGGGACCGAATCTGTCGTAAAATAGACCAATGTTATGGCAAACGTATTTTAAGTAACGCTTCTCATACAAAATGATACTAAATACTGTCAAAACTCCATGTGGTTGCTACACAGTTAGGCGTTTTAGATAGAAAACCTAACCTAGAAAAATGTCAGAAAACAATGTTATCATAACTGCATCTTTGTGATGTGGTATAATAATATATGAGTAAAGTATTTAGTACTATTTTGTATGAGAAGCGCTACAAAAGATAGCCCCTACTTAACACTGCTCAATTTTACGCAAAATTAAGAAAAAATATTTCCAAAGTTATCGGTGTCTGTATTCACCTAGTTTCAAAATAAAGTCCTTGAGGTGACAATCATAAGTCCTTGAAAGTTCGTCAAAAGTCAATCAAATAAAAAAAAATAGTTTTATGAATATACAATCCTGGGCCTTTTTGCAAAAATTAACCAAATGGCGGCGCCACGAAATTTTTTTGTAGATTCTTGGGAAAAATTCAACAGTTGATTTGATATTTGAAATTTTGAAAACAAAAAATCTTTTGATTAGGCCCGAGTCTATTATGTATTTTAAAAGCTGCATAAATTTTATTAAAATCTACGTAAACATTGTTTTGAGAAAAACGCATTTTTCAGCATATCAAGGGGAATTAGACCCACAATTAAGTCCTAGGGCCTTATCTAAGTCCTAGGGTATCCATAATCATTAATAATGATTATATATATGTATGCAACAATTTGTACGATTTTAGAACTAGTATTCACGGTTTTTGGGCATATTTGCCACACTAGTTGGTTGAAGCTCTCATTATTAGCTTCCCGTAGAGTAAGTTATAGTAATCGCAAAAAATCGAAAATTGAATTTTTTGCATATCTTCACGTTTTGAAGATTTCTGAACATTTTGGATAGATATATGTGTGTATATATATTTGGATACAAATTTGTCCGCGATTTCGGGCGCACGAATCAACCGATTTGAATGATTAAAAAAACATTCGATTCCTGTTGATGAGAAGACATGCCGATTAGTTTTTGGTCAAGTCAGGTCCAGCCGTTTCAAAGATATGGGACAAAAAGTGCCAAAACGGTAATTTAGTTATTGAGAGAACGGAGTACCCGATTAGAATTATTCTAAAAACATTTTACTTGCATTGACAAAATGAAGGATTGATGAATGATTTTGATAAGGCAGGTTTGGCGGCGGTTTTGGAGATACAGAAGAAAAAGTTAAAAAAGATAGATATTTGGCGGCCAAAAATGATCATTAGATATATGCTTATCAAATTAATAGATATTTGATAAAAATTTAAAAAGTGAGTACTAATTTTGTTACAATTTTGTTGCGTT